CATCATGGGCGAGGTCTGTGGCTTCAGTGGGTTAGGCACCTGAGCTGGGGGGGCTATTCCAGTCCTTTGGCCTCACGGCCCACAGCTCTGCCAGGGCCCAGATCTTACTGCTGAGGCCAGGAGTCCAGGAAGCGCTCTCTCTCTTGCTTATGTGATGGGGAGGTGCCCGCTCCTCCTCTCTGGCTCTCTCTCTCTCTTCTGTGTTCCAGTCTCCTTTTCTTCCTCTCTTCTTCAGCTTCTTTTCATCTCCAGATTTTCTCACCCTTGTGACCAAATGTCACCCAGTCACTAAGCATGTGTAGTGTTGTTTCAATTATGTGGCTGCTTTTTGCATGAAGATATGATAATACCCTTGGCTCATTCATTGTCATTTGTGCCATCAGCCATCTGGGAATGGTTCAGGCTAGAAACCAGCTCCGGAAGCCAGGCGATTCCCAGGGTGGGACTATTGCTCCTTATCTTACTCATGAAGGTATGCAATGGGAAGATTCTGTCGCTGACTGACACAGGGTGTAATGGACTCAATGCACCCCGAGGTCTGCATGGTGGTGGCGGGAGGGCAGTGGGATGAATCCCAGGGAAAGGAGGAACAGGGTCAGAGCTGCTTGGCCCAGGTCTTCCGTACCTAGAGTCTCTTTCTGGTGCTGCCTTTTGAAGCTTGAAGGTTCAGGTTTGGGTTTGCACCAGGGAGGGTGACCTTAGAACCTCACCTGAATCTTCCTGCAGCTGCTGGTCCTTTTATGTGACCAAGACAGGGCCCAGGAAGTGGCTGTGAAGCAATGGTTTCCACTTTGTGTATCTTGTTTGTGCTCTGGCCAGACACCTGCAGTCCCCCGGTGAGCTCAATCTCCTCCCGCCTTCATTCGGTTCATGCAGTTCCTGCTGTCTGCTTCAGCCTTCCTCCTTCCGCTCAGCCGAGACTGCCTGAGCTGGGGCCATCCGTCCTCTGCGAAGCTGGTTCAGCCAGCCCTCCTCTGCCCCCATATTCCCCTCTGCTGTCCTCCATCAAAGCATTTATCGCCTGTGTGTGACATGCCTACCAACATTCCTGTGTTCCCCGCTGGCTTCTGAGCTCTCTGAGGGCAGGGCTGTGGCATGGATCACTGTCCTCTCACTGTTCCTGTCACCGACTGAGTGAGTGAATGAACGAAGTGGCAGCTAATGGAGCCACGTCTGCTAAGCATGTATGCACTCCAGCCCTTTTTGATGGCACGAGCTCTCCAGAGGGAAATATATTTGCTGGGGGTGGGGAAGGGGATTATATAGAGGGCTGTATCTGAGTTGCAGTTCCACTGATTCTGTGGTGAATTTGTTTCTGTGGCTGCTGTAACATCACCACACTCAGTGGCTCCCAGCAGCATGAATACACTACCTGGCAGTTCTGGAGGTCACATGTCTTGGAATGACTCTCACAGGGCAAAAACCAAGGTGTCTGTAGGTCTGCGCTCCTTCTGGAGGTTTCTCTTTCCTTACCTTTTTCAGAGTCTAGAATCAGCCTGCATTCCTGGCTCACGGCCCCCTCCTCATGTCACCCAGGCTCTTGCTCCCATAGTCACACTTCCTACTATGCACTCTGACCCCCCGCTTCCCTCTTCTGAGGCCCCTTGTGATTATATTTGGTCCACTGGATAACCCACTATTAGCTCTCCTTCTTGAGCTCCTTCACTGAATTACAACCACAAAGTCCCTTCTACCGCATAAGGTGACAGATGCACAGGTTCTGGGGTTAGGTTGTGGAAGTCTCTGGTGGGACACTGGTCAGCCTGCCTCATGCAGGAAACCCAGAGACGCAGCTTCTGCTCTGCATTCCTATCTGCCTGCATCTCAATGCTTCCCATCATCCAGCCCTCGTGCTGCTTCTCCCAGGGAGGCTTTCCTGAGGCCCCTTTCCCTCCAGCTGGGTGCTCCTCAGCCCTGGTTCCTGCTGCTGCTCTTGACCACGAGCACTTCTCTGGCCAAATGGAGACCCTCCCGTTTGTGCATCTTTCCACCTCTGTGCTGTTAGTCCGGAGCCTTCTTCCTCTCTGGCACGTCCCCAGTTCCACTCAGCCTGTCTTCTCTCTTCTACTAAGTTACCCCCTCTCTGCCCCCAACACCAGGCACAAGCCCTGGATTGGCAGAATTTAGACTCCCTTCCATTGTAATGACTGCCACAGTGCATTCCGGTTCTTTGTTTGCAAGCTAGTCTATGCCCCTAGACAATGAGGAGACATCTTGGAGTGTGGGCCACACCTGATTAATCATCGTATCCTGGGCATGTGCTGAGAGCAGGTGGGAGTGGCCTCTGTGAACTCAGGGCGGCTGTGATATGCAGCCCGCAAGGGGGCGGTGCTTGGGTCTGTTGCTTCCTATTGTTTTCTGCGTATACCCTGCTGTCCACCCCCATCTCCAAACCCACTTAGGACAGGGGTCACCAGCCTTGCACATGGGGTCTTGCAACTGTTAGCTGGTCTATTGGATTGAGCCAAATGAAAATGCTGTTAGACCATTTGTAACCTGGGCAATACTAAGTATCTCTTGACAAGGAGGCGAAGTATCATTGCTCAGAGCGTCCTGATGCAATTGGTGGGCAAACCCTCAGGCCTTGCTCCTTCCCCAGCTGCTCTGCCTGCCGCCCAGTGCAGGAGGTTCTCCCTCCTGGCATGCCTTCGATCAGGTGTAGAAAATATTTTAAAATGTCAACACTGACAATCTGTTGATTGAGAAAGAGGACTGTTAGGCTAACCAGCTACACCTTCCTCAGCAGGAAGATTTCCCCCTAAGGACAACTTGGTAGTACAAACTTGCTTGGTAAGCAGTGGACTACGATGATCTCAAAGGGAGTGTGCTCAGATGCAGGGGCAAGTGCTGGCATGGGCTGCTCGAAGCAGCCAGCTGCAGCCCAGCCAGGAACCTTCTCCAGCAAGAGACCAAAGAAAAGGCAGGTTTTCTCTGTAGGACAGACTTGGAATGAGAATTGATTGGGGAGCACACTCAGAATGGCAGGGTCATGGGGTGGGCCTGGGCCACAGCATGATGCCCACTGAGAACAGTTTGCTTAGCCCTGCCCACCCCTGGGGACACCAACAGTGTTGGCTTGGGTGATATCCTACCCCTCAGTAACCCATGCGGGTGTGGCTAAAACAAGGAGGCATCATCTATCAGAAATGTTTTTTGCTTCCTTCCTGTTTAATATCTTTCTTCTTTTCTTTCTGGGATCTCTTTTTTAAACTTAGAGTTTACTTATAATAGAATGCACATATTTTCAGTGCACAGTTCAGTAAGGTTTGACAAATATATACACTCAATGTAACTGCTATGTCAGTCACCCCAGAAGTTCCCTTGTGCCTTTTGCAATTAAACCCCGCCCCAAATGGCCATCAGCTGAAATGACATGAATGGATAAACAAAGTGTGGTCCATCCGTCCAACAGAGTTATTACTCAGCCATAAGAAAGAAGGAAGCACGGAGACACACTACAGCATGGATGGTCTTTGAAAACTTTATGCCGAGTGAGAGAAGCCAGACACAAAAGGCCACATAATTGTATGATTCCCTTCGTATGAAATGATGTCTGGAATAGATGAATGTGTAGTGACAGAAAGTAAATGAGTGGTTGACGAGGGCTGGGGGTAGGGGGGAGCTAATAGGTATCGGATTTCTTCTAAAATTAGATAGTGGTGATAGTTGTATAACTGTGAATATACTAAAAAGCATGGCACTGTACACTTTAAAAAGGTGAACTTTATGGCATATGACGTATTTCAATACTGTAATTTTTTTTAAAGTTATGGAATATTCTCATCACCCCAGAAAGAGACCTCATACCACTTCCCAGTCAGTTCCCACCCTTCCCCCACAACCATAGTTCAACATATTCATTGTGTCTGTTGTAGAACTTACACAATTGGAGTCATATATTGCGTACTCATTTGTGTGAGGTTTCTTTCATTAGGCGTAATGTTTTTGAGGTTTGCCTATGCTGTTGTGACAGCAGTTTGTGCCTTTTTGTTTTTGCTGAGTAGTGTGACTTTGTCACAGTTTCTTATATATGGACATCTGGGCCATTTCCAAATTTGGGCTAGTGTGGATAAAATTGCTATGGATATTCTTGTGAACATATGTTTACTTTTTTCTTAGATAAATACATAGAAATGGAATTTTATTTATTTTTTAATTTTTATAAGAAACTGAGGGATTTTTTTTCTAAAGTGGTTTTACTGTTTTACATCAAGATGTGACAGTTTTGATTGCTCATAACATTTGATATGGTCAGTCTGTTTGTAGTTATTTGTGTTGGTGAGTTGGAAATTTTAAATATTTATAAACTCTAGTTTATTAATTTTTTTTTACCTAAGAAATATTTGTCTACTTCAAGGTCATGAAGATATTCTATGTTTCCTTTAGAAGCTATATGGTTTTAGGATCCACTTCAACTTAATTTTTTGGCATAATGTAAGAGAGTTGTAGTTAATTTTTTTCCTTTTAGATAGACAATTATTCTAGTGCATTTATGGAAAAGATTTTTCTTTCCCCATTACATTATTTCAGTACCTTTGTTGAAAATCAATTGTATATATGTATGTAGGTCTATTTCTGGACACTGTTTTCTGTGTCATTCATCTATTTGAGTATCCCAATGCTAATACCAAACGTCCTTGATTATTATTATTTACAGTAAGTCTTAAAATCATCTACTGTTAGCCCTGCAACTTTGTTCTGTATTAAGGTTATTTTGGCTATTCCAAATCCTTTCAATTTCCACTTAAATTTTAGAATCTCCTTGTCAATTTCTAAAAAACATTTACCTTTTGGGATTTTGATGGGGATTACATTGAATCTATAGGGCAATTTGGAAAGAATTGATACTTTAACAATACTGAGGCTTCCAATCCATGAACATGGTACATCTCATCTATTTAGGTCTTTTATTCTTTCAGTGGTGTTTGGTAATCTTCAATGTAGAGATATTATACATCTTTTGTTAAATTTATTCTTAAATAACATTTTTATTTTAATAGAGGAACCTGGAAAGCACAGCAATGTGAAGGTGAAGTGGTGGATAGAGAGACAGTGGGGCTGATGTTTGGGGTTGGGGCCCTGTATGGAGCCCCAAATGATTACCAACAGGAAGCAGTTGGTGCATCTCACTTAGTCCCTCCATCTGCCTGTCAGAATCAACTCGGTTCTGTGACTGGGGACATGATAGCCAAGAAGTCCTTGTTTGTTTCTTCCCTCCACGCACTAAAATGAATACTTTTCAGTTTTCCCTTCTGAACACCTGGTGTACTAGGAAGCTCAGGCACAGGCTAGTCCTGCTCGCTGTCCCCTCCTGAGAGCAACTGTGATGCCTCCAGCTCCTAAAGCACCTTTCAAGGTGTTCCCTGAGCAGCGGTGGCCAGGGACCTCTGCGGGGACATGGCGTGGAGAGCCATGCCTCAGAGGACTGGGAAATGTGGCAGAGTCAACCACATACCTGGCAGAGGAGGAGAAAAAACAGGCGGACGAGAAGAAGCAGAGAGTGCGAGGGGAGCTGAATGGCTCTCACGGCGGAGTGAGAGCCGCGGATGCCCACTGCCTAGGGGCCTGCCAGACGGCAGAGTGAGAGCCGCGGATGCCCACTGCCTAGGGGCCTGCCTGCCAGACGGCTTGCTTTCCAGAGCTGCCTTGGATTTCCGATGCTCTTCCAGCTCCACCGCCTAGGAGGCCTCACTGTCCTGAATTCCTGCTCTCCCACAAAGCTCAGGTATTTGATTTTTGTGAGGGTCCTTTGAGGGCTGGCTCTGTGGCTAAGTCTCATCTGTTCATTATTTCCACAGGTAACCTAACAGTGCTGCCCGCCCACTTGCATGGACTGACTCGAGGGAATTGCTGCTGCTCGCATCCAGGAGTACCCAGCAAACATGAGAGACTGCCCTTGGGTCTGTGTGTTCCCTCGCGTTAGAGTTTTTGCTTTTCCCTTAGTTATGATGGTGTGTTTGTGTGTACCCAAATAACTGGGATTCTGCACTTCATCTTTGCAGGTTGTCACACACAGGCAGAGGTCTTCTTGATAACTGGCAGTGGGCCTGTCAGAGGCGTCTGGAGAGGGCATACACTGACAGTCATTGTGCAGGAAGCCCTGGGAGAACTGGAGTTCCCAGGAGAGAGGCCTGGGGGCTTGCAAGCCCACCTTGAAGAAGCACATTTGTCTCCAGTACCATACGGGCAGGGGGAAAAGCCATAGGAAAAGTATTTTGGCTTAACGTAAAGAACTTTATAGGAGCTGTACAACCAACGTACAGGCTTCCTTGCCTGACTGTGATTTCTGTGGCCCTGGAATATACAAGCAGATCCTCATAGAGATTCCTCCACTGAGCAGGATATTGGGGGCCTTCAAGATCCATTGGATTATTTGCCTAACAGTTTACCAGAAGATAATGAATGTTCTCCTCCCAAAAAGACTTCTGGGGAAAGGAACACAAAGGAAAATGTTTCTGAAGGCAAAATCTCAGGAGCAGTGACATCAATGTGGCAAGGTGTTTTGGCCAAGGACTTGCCATTGCCCCTCAAATTATATTGTACCTGGTGTGAAAGACCAGCCACGATCCATCCCGCCGTGTGGAAGTGCCTTCCCACCATCCTCAGCAATCATTTGCTCGTCCAAAGCAAGCCCTCCCAAACCGGTTGGGCTCGGCCTCCGGCTTCTTTGCAGCTTCTCTCCACGATAAAGTGCCAGGTGTGGCATGAGGGCTGGAGGAGAGAGTGGGGGCATGGCTGCAGGAGACGCCTGCTCAGGCCCTTCACAGAGCATACCCTTCTCTCAGTGTCGGCTTGGAGCTGACTTTTCTTTCTTCTCATGACTCAGCCATCATTGATTGGGAAAGCTGTGTGAGCATTCTTCATCCCAGCCAGAAGCCCTGCCCTGCTTAAGCCGTTGGGGCTGTAGGAATCTGCCCCTTTCTCGTGGAAGGTCTTGTAGGAGATTTGTCCTTTCCTGAGGGTCCACTTTGGAGCTACCCCAGTCCCCTTCATTGTTTCTCTGGGGTGGGGGATAGTGCTTTTTCCCTTCAGCTAGTGCCACCACTGATGTATCTTCCCAAGATGCATGTCTGAGAGCTGCAGTGGGGGAGCTGCGTAGGGGCCAGGGATGGGGGTACACACTCCCCGTCATGGAACGAGAGGTTTGAGATTGGACAGGCCTGAATTTGTCACTTGCAACATGAGTTAGCTGTGTGGCTGGGTAACTTAGTAACTCATCTGAGCCTCAGTTTCTGCATCTATCAACAAGAGGTGATGGCATCTCTTGTACTTGGTTGTTGAGGCTCTTCAGTAAGACACTGTGTGTGGAAGCACCTAGCGTGGTACTTGGCTTTGAGTAGGAGCTCAGTGAATACCACCTCCCTCTGCTTCCCACTGCTTCTTGGAACTCGGATCCATTTCATCCAAAGCTTTCTTGGCAGCCACCCTGCAGCCACACTAGTGGTGGCGGGTACTGAGGGAACAGTCTCACTGGATGGAAATCTTGGCACCTTTTAGAACTTCCAGAGAGATGCAGAGACAGAGTCAGAGGCCACTTGATGCTATTGCAGAGTATGCCTAGAGGAGTGAATACTGGCCTGTTCACTCACTACGCCAGTGTGGCTGAAATTCCTCCCATTAGTCATTTCCATATTTTAATTGTCTTCTTGAATCAATATATCCACTTGGGAAATAGTCTGTGTAGTCTGTAGGCTGGAGTGTTGAAAGCCATTTTCAAAGGTGGAGAAGAAGTCCAGTCAGTGTTTTGTTTATCTTGTCCAGTGGCACATCAGACACTTTAAAAATGAGATTAGTTGACTGACATCTTGGAGCAGAGTCTGTCATTTACCTTTCTTTTGGCTGGAGCATTGAGTATGGCCCTGCCTGCAACAGGAAATCATCAACATTTTTGATGATCCAGCGAGTGTCTTTTAAGAGCTCTGTGATTCGGATGCCTGCTACCTCGTGGATGAACCTTGAAGACATTATGCTGTGAGGTAAGTCAGACATAAAAAGATACTGTATGATCTCACTTATATGAGGTCCCTGGAGTCTCACATTCACAGAGACAGCAAGTAGAGTGGCAGGTGCCAGGGCTGGAGGTGAGATGGGGAGTCAGTGTTTAGTCCGGGCTGAGTCTAAGTTTGGGAAGATGAAAAAGTCCTGGAGATAGGTGGTGGTGATGGGCGCACGGCATTGTGAATGTACTTAGTGCCGTAGAGCTGTGTGGCTAAAATGGCAGATTCTGTGTTATGTATATTTTACCACAATAAAAAAGTATGTGTGTGTAATCTAATGAGTGTCCTTAATTTTGAAAACTGTGATATAATCAACGATTTCTCAAAGATAATACTGTGAATTAACATTTGTAAGATGTAAAAATATTGCTGGATTTGCATGTTTATTCCACCAATGCTCCTTAGTTTGACTCCATGCAAGCTCCTAGCTAAGCTGGGGGAGTCAGAGCTTCAGCCCCAGGCTCCCTCTTCCAGAGCCAGCGTCCGAGGGTGAGGACAGCGAAGACCCAACCCAGGACCCCTGAGCCCATGAGTGGAGCTTGTGGTCTGGCAGAGGAGATGAGGAAGGGCTGATAAATTGCTCGCTCTGGTTTTGGGGCAGGCTTGGTGAGGAGGCTGGGGCCTGCTGGGGAGGGAGGAAAGGGCACCCCGCTAATGGGGAATGTGGGGGCCAGCCCTGGATGCCCATGCAGAGCAGTGGTATCAGGCTAGTCCTAGAAATGGCGGGAGGACTTGGGGCTCTCAGTGCCTGGGGAAATGAGGTGGGAGAGCACGTCTTGGTGACCCAGAGCCAGCCTCACCTGCCTCCTGTCAGCTAGTGACCTTGCTGAGTTTTAAAAATCTTTGTAAATTGCAGTTTTCTCATTAATAGAATATATACTTCTTCCCAGTTTTGATGGGATTAAATCGAAAAATGTGTTAAACAGATATATCTATGTATTTAATCTATATACCTAAACTAATTTATATCTACATCTACAGCCACCTTCACATCTGTAGGTCTGTATCGTCTATGCCTATACACACCTACATGCATGTTGGGGGACATAGGTCGGGGAGGGAGAACTCTTCAAGGTCTGGAAACAAGCTTTGATTATTTATGGGTTTGACTTCTCTATTTTGAACCGGAGTGTTGGCTCTGGGAAATGGTGAGAAACATCCTGGGTGTGTCTGATGCTCCGAGTGTCCACAGGCCAGCCTCTTTGTCAGAGTCATCGAGGGTGTGAGGGCCCAGGGTGGAGGATCCAGAGGAGCCTGGGAGTGTCAGCAGGGGTGGGCACCGAGGCTGAGATCCTCTAAGGTGGTCACCGCATTCAAGTCCAGGTCAGAGTACAGTCCCTTGGGTGGGCTGGTTTGCTTTGTTGCCATGGAGACCACCCTGTCTCAGCGCAGACCCATCCGTCCTACTTCCTAGAGAAACTGGGAGGCAATAGGGTCATTTTGGTCAAAGAAAGATGATGCATTCACACACCCACATGAATGGCAACATGGATGAGTTAGATGTGATGGAGCCTGAGGAAATGATTTGTCCGAGGCGGACAGTGGAAGAAAGGGAGAGAGGGAACATGATGAGGCCCCATTAGCCATTGCTAAGTCAGCTCGAGTCAGTTTATTTGATCTCACGTGGTCATCTATCAGGCCTGTGGGAAGGCTGAGTGGGGGTGGCCGTTAGGACCTTGGGAGGAGGGAAGGAAGTCAACAAAAAGGAATGGAAGGCCCTTGAATTCTGTTTACATATACTGTCAGTCTGCCTATAATGATAATAGCTAACATTTGTTGAGCACCTACTATATGCCAGGAACTGCATAGAGTATTTTGTATCAGTCCATTTTCATGTTTTTTTTTAAGATGGGAAAAATTACATCTTTATTTTTGTTAACTCCTAATGGATATTTAGCAGTTCATTCAATTATAAGCAGCAGACTACAATATTATTATCATCAGACCAGAATATTATTTTTAAAAAATAGAAGTATCACTGATATACAATCTTATGTTAGTTCCAGATATACAACACATTGATTCAACATTTACACATATTATTAAATCCTCACCCTCACTTGTGTGGTTACTATCGTCAATATAGGAAGATGTTACAACATCACTGGCTATATTCCCCATGCTGTACAATTATCTCCGTAACCAATATATATTATGATTGAGAATTTTTGTGCCCCTTTATCCCCCTTGCCCTCCCTACCCACCCACCCTAATCCCTCCCCCATGGTAACCACTAGTCCCTTCTCAGTGTCTGAGTCTACTGCTATTTTGTTCATTCTGTTTTGCTTTGTTTTTATATCCCACAAATAAGTGAAATCATGTGGTATTTGTCTTTCCCCTTCTGGCTTATTTCATTTAGCATAATACCCTGTAGATCCATCCATGTTGTTGCAAATGGCAGTTTTTTTTATGGCTGGATAATATTCCATTGTGTATATATACCACATCTTTATTCATTCATCTATTGATGGACACTTAGGTTGCTTCCATATCTTGGCTATTATAAATAAGGCAGTGATATACATAGGGGTGCATATATCTTTTTGAATCAGGGATTTTGTTTTCTTCAGGTCAATTCCTAGAAGTGGAATTACAGGTCTAATGGCATTTCTATTTTTAGTTTCTTTAGGAAACTCCATACTGCTTTCCATAGCAGTCATGCCAATTTACATTCCTACCAACAGTGTAGGAGGGTTCCCCTTTCTCCACGTTCTTGCCAACACTTGTCGTTTCTTGTCTTTTGGATAGTGGCCATTTTAACTGGTTTGAGGTGATAACTCATTGTAGTTTTGATTTGCATTTCCCTGATGATTAGCGATGTGCCTATTGGCCACCTGTATTTCTTCTTTGGAGAAATGTCTGTTCAGATCCTCCAGCCATTTTTTGATCAGGTTATTATTTTGATGTTGAGGTATATGAATTCTTTATGTATTTTGGATGTTAGCCCCCTGTTGGATGAATCATTTATGAATATATACTGTAGAGTGCCTTTTTGTTCTGCTGATGGTGTCCTTTGCTGTACAGAAGGTTTTTAGTTTGATATAATTCCACCTGTTTAGTTTTTATTTTGTTTCCCTTGCTTGAGGAGATGTGTCCAGGAAAAAATTGCTCATGCTTATGTTCAAGAGATTTTTGCCTATGTTTTCTTTTAAGAGTTTTATGATTTCATGTATTACATTCAGGTATTTGATCCATTTCAAGTTTACTTTTGTGTTTGAAGTTAGACATTATCCAGTTTTCATCCTCTCGCATGTAGCTGTCCAGTTTTCTCAACACCAGTTATTGAAGAGGCTGTCTTTCTCTCATTGTGTATTCATTACTCCCTTATTATATATTAGTTGACCATACATTTGTGGGTTTATATCTGGGCTTTTTGTTCTGTTCCATTGATCTATGGATCTGTTCTTGTGCCAGTACCATACTGTTTCATTACTGTAGCTTTGTGGTATAGCTTGAAGTCAGGGAGCATAATACCCCCACCTTTATTCTTCTTTCTTAGGATGGCTTTGGCTATTTGGGGTATTTTGTAGTTTTATATGAATTTTATAATTATTTTATTCTAGTTCATTGAAAAATGATGTTGGTATTTTGATAGGGATTGCATTGAATCTGTAAATTACTTTGGGCAGGATGGCAATTTTGACAATGTAAATTTTTCCTATCCATGAGCATGAGATAGATTTCCATTTATTTGTGTCTTCTTTAATTTCTCTCATGAGTGTCTTACAGTTTTTAGAGTACAGATAGGTCTTTCATTTCCTAGGTTAGACTTATTTCTAGGTATTTTATTCTTTTTGATGCAATTGTAAATGGGGTTGTTTTCCTGATTTCTCTTTATGCTAGTTTTTTGTTAGTATATAGGAATGCAACAGATTTCTGTGTAGTAATTTTGCAACTTTGCTGGATCCTGTTATTAGTTCTAGTAGTTTTTTGGTGGAGTCTTCAGGGTTTTCTATATATAATATGTCATCTGCAAATAGTGACAGTTTAACTTCTTCCTTACCAATTTGGATGCCTTTTATCTCTTTGTGGTGTCTGATTGCCATGGCTAGGACCTTTAGTACTATGTTGAATAAAAGTGTTGAGAGTGGACATCCTTATCTTGTTCCTGATCTTAGAAGAAAGCTTTCAGCATTTCGCCATTAAATATAATGTTAGCTGTGGCTTGTCTTACATGGCCTTTATTATGTTGAGGTACGTACCCTCTATACCCATTTTGTTGAGAGTTTTTATCATGAACGGATGTTGAATTTTTTCAAATGCTTTTTCAGCATCTATTGAGATTATGTGGTTTTTATCCTTCTTTTTGTTAATGTGATATATGGTATTGATTGATTTATGAATATTATACCATCTTTGCATCCCTGGAATAAATCCCACTTGGTTGTGATAGATGATCCTTTTGATGTATCTTTGAATTTGGTTTTCTAATATTTTGTTGAGGATTTTTGCACCTATGTTTATCAGGGATATAATTTTTTTTTGTAGTATCTTTGTCTGGTTTTGGTTTTAGAATGATGCTGGCCTCATAGAGTATGTTTGGAAGTATTCCCTCCTCTTCTACTCTCTGGAATACTTTAAGAAGGATGGGTATTAGCTCTCACAATATTATTCTTTGTTATCCCAGAACTCACAGATGTTGAGTTGAAGAGACCTGACACTACATATCCGCAGAAGGATATGGGCTCCTCCTCTCTTTTGGTGTTGCAAGCTACATGGATACAAATAGCATTTTTTTCATTGCTTTTTGAGCCATGTCAACATAACTACTAAAGAAAGATGCCTGGAATGCTGCCAGAGAGGAGTCAATAGGAGTGAAATGTTCAGGTTATCACTGGTAGAAATTTCCACATATGTGTCTTTGGGCTAATAGGCCAATTTATTAGACTCATACAGAAGTCTGAAAAGGGCCCCACTTAACTAGTCTGTCTCATTTACTTGTTTGTTTTGTTTTTTCCACTCTTCATTTATTCTTGTTGTTGATATATAATTCACCATGAAATTCACCCTTTTTAAGTGTACGATTTGGTAGTTTTTGGTATATTCACAAGGTTGTACAACCATCACTACTCTCTAATTTCAGAACATTTTGTCACCCTTAAAATGCCCACCGCTTATCATAAACCCCATACTCCACTCCAATCCCTGGCCTGGAAACCACTAATTTGTTCTCTGGTTTTCAATGTTTTGTAATTTTCATGGTATGAGTCTTGTACTTCTTTTGTTATATTCATTTCCTTTACGAAAATATTTACTGAAGGACCTTTTCCAGTGAGGAGCATTTTGACTGATAACCTTCTTTGTTTTAACAGTAACACTGTAAAGAATTTGAGACCTTTGAAATGTATGAAGATTTTCAAATTACTCATCATTCCTATGATTAACATTTTTTATCCAATCCTGAAACTATAATTTCATTTCAACAGCCTTGTCTAATACAGTAAAAGCCATATGCCAGTGCTATATCTCATAGCTGTGTTCTCTAAAGACCAGAGTTAATACAAATAAATTAAGACAATGTATCAGTTTGGAATTCATATGGATGCAAGCAACAGAAAGTCCTATTTTAGAGGCTGATGCCAATAAAGATTTGGTTTTCCTATGAGCAAGAAGTTAATGTGGAGACATACTGGGGCTGTTTTCAGTGATAATCAGGAACCCAGGCTCTTTCCATTTTCCTGTTCCTCTATCCTTAACACAGACTTTCATTCTCAACTTCTTGTCTCCTGGTTGCAAGATGGCTGCTACAACTCCAGGCCTCACACTTATGTCCCAGGCAAGAAGAAGGGAGGAAGGGTGGAAGGATGAAGAGCTTGCCCTTAGCAAGTCCTTACCTTCTTATTTAGGAGGAGAAGCCCCTTTCCCCTGCCCCACCCAGGGCTTAGAAAGCCAACCAACTGTGTCTTCATATTAACTATCTTATTTAATCCCTTTTAAAATTATCTGAGGTAGGTAATCTTTTCTGTGCTTTGTCTGCTTTACATATGTGGAATTCTAGACTTCAAGAACTTCTGTAACTTTCCCAAGGTCACACTATCAGTGTCAGAACTGAGACTAACAGTGATAACATATTATACTGCTCTAGTTTATGTTTCATCATTGTATATAAAGCACTTTCCCCTTTGTTTTTTCATTTGGGTCTCACAGAATTCAAGATGCACAAGGCAAGTATTAGAATGTCCTCCTTTTATTGAAGAAGAATTTGAGATCCAGATGGAAATAATGACTTGCCTGAGGCACCCAGCCGGGAGCTTTCGGAGCTGGGATTTAACCCCAGCGCTAGTGTCCTGGCTTCTCTACCCCACTGGCTAGGTGTGGCCAGAGAGCAATTGCTCACTGAGGGAAACACACACACAGAAAGAAGGGGTAGAAACTGACCTCACAGGCTTCAGTTTTGCAGAGGCCCAGTTTTGGGGGCTTTTCTGTTGTTTCCCTTGTAGGGTGGCGGAGTGTGTCTGGGACGATCGCGGACGCCTGGCCATGGGACACGCCGCGCATACGAAGGTGGTCTGTGTCCCGTTCTACCAGCTGGTCTCACTCGTGTGTGTGGGTTCCCAGCTTCACTTACAGACGGGTACCTGGTGCCTGGAGGGGAATTTCCTAGAAGGAAAAGTCAGACTTTATCTTATGTATTGTCTTCTTTGAACACAGGTAACACCAAGGAATGGATGTTTCTTGACAACCCAGCCTGATTAAGTAGTAAAAGGAAAGAAAAGAAAACCAAGTCCAAGTGAGTTTTCTGTTGGCCTTGATAGAATTAAATATGCTTAAAGAAATCCCCAGCTCATTCATATTCTTAAAGCCTTTGTGTAACATCGATAGATACGGCTCCGAGCTCTGACCTCAGAGGCCGGGCCACGGGTCTTTGAGAAGAATCTGTGAGTGATCTACAGCAGGGCACACACGAGGGCTCCAACCGCAGCAGGGCAGGGAGCGCCAGCTGCCACCAGCTCACCGGTGGCTGCCGAAACAGACCCCTGGCCTCTTCCCCGCCTCTGCCCTTGCCTTTTTGGGATCCATGTTCGACACAGGGAGCAGAGGGAGCCTTTTTAAGGGTGGGAGACCAATTACGGACCTTCTCAGTTCCCAGATTCCCCAGATCGCTGTCTTGCTCAGAGGGAGCCTCAGGTCCTTGTGATGGTTTATGAGCTCTCTGGGTTCATCTGCAACTCTCCCTGGCTAACTCCACTTTGGCCGCATCGGTCTCCGTTATGCTTCTGGAACACAGCAGGCAGGCTCCCACCTCCAGGCCACTCCTACCATCTTGGTGTAAGATAAATTCTAGCTGAAATAAGCAGGTGACGAGAGGCAACAAAGGGCCAGGCAGTTTATTTGAGTGCGATTCCCGGGCGAGGTTCACCAGTCTATGTAAATGGCGGCCGGGGAAGCCGCACCCCGTCAGGGAGGTGGGGGCTTATAAGGGCCTAGGAGGGGGAGGAGTGGGCAGGCTATCCTAGGGGGCGTGGAGAGGTGTGATTGGCTGAAGGTGACATAATAGACAACTAGAAACTTTTTTTCCTTCCAAGAGGGAGGAGGCTGACATCCGGGTCTTACTTGGCACCCCAGAAGGATGGAATTCAGGGAGAGCTGTCCCCTTTCCATATAAGGACGGACCTTGGGGTCTGGCCTGTTCCCCCCCATGGCCTCTCTCTGTTCTGTTTGCATGTCCTTGTCTTTCCTTCCTCCAGCCTAACACTTGGTCCTTCCCTCTGCCCAGGACATCGTCCCTTGGATGCTCGCACGGCTCACTCTCTCACATCCCTCAGATCTTTGCCCACATGTTTCCTTCTCAGGGAAACCTCCCTGATTACCCCACTTAGAATTGCAGTGATCCTCCAGTCCCACGCCCATCATACCTTCTGTGCAATTTCAGGGTGACCATTCCCATCGATTAGGAACTGAATGGTGTCCCTGAGCTTGTCCAACTCATGGTCCTACCATCCCACTTCTGGCTTTATTTTTCTCCATAACATTTAACCACCTTTAAGATGACTACCCCATTTTCTTTGTTATTTGTTTTGTTTATTACCCGATTTTTCCCCACCTGTGGCTTGAAAGTAAGTTCTGTAAGCATAGGGATTTTGTCTCTTTTTTCCACTACTATGTCACCAGTGTCTAGAACAGTGCCCAGTACATAGTAGGTACTGCATACAGATTTGTGAATGAATAACTGACAGCCTTGTTTCCTCCTTTTTAATCTTATGTCTTTCATTTTTCTAATTGTATTATTACTCAGACTGGAACATCCTGAATTATGTTGAACAGAAGCAGAGAAAACTGTTATCTTTGTCTTTCCTGTTTTTCAAGGGACTGCTTCTAACATGTATTAGGTTTGTTATAGGTTTTTTTGTAGCTGCTTTTTATTGGGTTGAGTTTCTTTCTATTCCTAGTTTGCTGAAAATTTAAAACAATTATTACTATTGTTGAATTGTATTGGATGATTTTTCTTTAGCTGTCTCCTGAGATCATGTATTGTTTTTAGTATGTTAATATGATTAATTACATTAGCATATTTTCTAACATTACACCAACCTTGCATTTATGGAAATTAGGGGAAATGCAAGCACAACATGGCAATCTCACTGAGTTGAGGAGACAGAAATAGGAATTCAAAGAGGCTGAACCAATTGGAATTTGCAAAGTGGAGTTACAGAGAGGAGGCTTGTATGCAGAGAAAACGTTCTAAAAATCTGGAGACTGATACTGAATACTAAGCCACATGTATGCAGAGTGAAATGCCATGAGGCTGGTAAAAGGACAGCTAAAGAACTGTAAACCAAACAATTTGTAGAGTTCACATAGGCCTGGAAAATATTCTGGTTCCAACAGCTAGAGTGGATCATCCTCATTGAATACATAGGGCATTCATGGAGATTCCAGAAGGGTCTGCTTTTGCAGTTGGGCTAAACTATTACTAGAGTAAGGTTATTAAAGAACTGTCCCAGCGAAATTGATAATATACTTGAAATAATTAAGCTCATCTGCAAGTAACCTAACTGCCTGTTAGAACCAAGTCTAATACTCTTGAAAAGAAGGCAATAAAACTTAGCATTCAACCATGTAGAATACACAATGTCCAGCATCCAGTTAAAAAATTATTGGACATAAGAATAGTCAGTAAAATGTGATCCATAATCTGGAGCAAAGTCAGTCAATAGAAACAGACTCAGAAATGACAGAGATGATATGATTAAAGACAAGGCCTTTGTAACACCTATTGCAAGTATGCTCAAAGATGTAAAGGAAATTACTTAAGTAACGAAAAGCACAAAATAGAAAAAACAAACAAATGGACTTTTTAGAGCTGAAAAATTCAATATGTGAAATGAAAATTTAACCAGTTGTGATTAACAGCAGTTAGACTCTACAGAAGAACGGATCAGTGAATTTATAAACATAGTGACAATTGCAATCCACAATAAGACCCAAAAGGGAAAAAGGGAACCCACCAGATCCTCTCTGACCTATGGAACAGTGTCAAGCAGTGTGACTGTGTGTGTAATTGGAGTCCCGGAGAAAGAAGGTCAGGAAAGAAATATATTTGAAGAGATAGTGGCCAAAGCTTTTTCACGTTTGATGAAAACCATAAACACACAGATCCAAGGCACTCAAAGAATTCCAAGCTGAATAAACACAAAGAAAACCAAACTAAGACACATAACCAAACTGCTGAAAACCAGTGACAGTGAGAAAAATCTTAAAAAATTCCAGGGGGAAAAAAAGATACATTAAATATGGAAGAACAAAGGTTAAAATTACAACAAATTTCTTGTCAGAAGCACCACAAGCCAGAAGACATCAGAACAACATCTTTAAAGCACTGAAAGAAAAAAATACTATCAATCTAGAATTCTGTATCTAGTGAAAATATTTTTCACAAAACATTTTCAAATACACAGAAGCTGAGCAAATATGTTCCCTGTAGATAATGCACTATAAGAAATATTGGAAAATACTCTTCAGGCAGAAGGAAATGATACCAGAGGGAAACCTAGTATATATAGGAATGAAGACTTCAGACGAGGGAGAATAGAAAAGAGTTCATTTAAAAATTTTCTTTAGAAGTAATTGACTGTTTAAAGCAAAATAAACCTTATATTGTGTTTATAACATGTGGGTGTAAAATGTAGGACACCAATAGCATGAAGGTTTGGAGAGGAGAAAACAACACCACAACATTTCTTAAACTCTTTTGTAGGTCAAATGATCACCAGCTATGTTCTGGCCAGTGAGATGCGAGCAGATGTGTGTCACTCTCGGAGATGGAAAGAGGAAGCATGCCTTTCTTCTCTCCCTCCTCCTCCTTCCTGCCTGGTGCTCCGGAAGTTATTCTGGACAAAGATATTAGGAGACTGTGAAAAACCTTGTATCAATTTTCACACTCAAAAAAAAAGAATACATTTCTAGAAAAAAAAAAATCACTAAGTCACGGAAAAGTAGAGACTTGAAACAGATACTTGTACACTGCTGTTCATAGCAGCGTTATTCACAATAATGAAAAGGTGAAAATAATGTGAATGTCCAGTGATAAATAAATACATGTGGTCTATTCATACAATGGAATATTATTCCGCCTTAAAAAGGATTGAAATTCTGACACATTCTGCAACATGAACCTGGAAGACATTATGCTAATGAAAGAAGCCAGACACAAAAGGACAAATATTGTATGATTCCTCTTAGTTGAGTGCAGAATGGTCACATTCATAGAGACAGAAAGTAACATTGAGGTTACCCAGGCCTGGGGGCAGGGAGGAAATGGGGAGTTGCTGTTTAATGGGGATGCAGTCTCTCTTTGGGAAAATGTCCACTTCCGGAGCTGGATGGCGGTGACGGTAACAGAAAATATGAATGTACCTAATGCCACTGAACTATACACTTAAAATCATTGAAAGGGTAAATTTTACGTGTATTTTACCAGAATAAAAACATTTTTTTCCTTTTTAGGTGTTTTGGAGCAGGAGGCTTTTTCCCTCGAGCTGGGCCTCCATTGCGCTAGAAATGGAATGCTGGCCTTCGCATTCTAAAACTTCCAGCTCAGTGACTTCTGCTCTATACTTGTCCTGTCTTGGCATTTAATGTGACTGGAAGAAAGAATGTGTGCAACTGTATAATGTTAGAGCAATCAGCCAGTAGGAGGAGTGGGCGTAACTTCTTCTGTTCCGGGTGGGAAGCCTGTTCATAAAGAGAGAAGCCCCTGACAGCTGAAAGCCCCTCTGCCTTGTCCCCAGGCCATTTTCCCCGTGAACTGGCAAATGCAGTCTGTGCAGCCACCCTGAGTGCACCTGCCTTGCTCCCCGATGAGAGCTGCTGGTGGGGACGACATCCACTTGGCAGAAGGCTGTGAGCGGGGCTCTGGGGGAAGCCAGCTGCCAGCCGCCTTTCAGACCTCTCTCTGCAGGGAGCTGTTCTTTCCTGACAGCGTCTACCTTCAGAATCACCTGAGCCTCAGCAGTGCACCAGGTTTTCTCTTTGCAGCACGGCACATTCCAAATCCCTGGGCAGGGAGGCCTCGCCCAGATTCCAGATGAGCAGATGAGCGCCTCAGCAGCCCTGGCTCCTCCCGCACACCTTTTCCCCTTCTGAGTGTTTGTGCCTCGTGACTTTGAGCTGCGGAGGCATCAGGCAGGGACGTGCCTGTGTTTGCACGTGACAACACTGGTCTGGGAGGGGAGGTAAGTTTCTTCCTCATCCCAAGCACATTTTTGCAGCTGTCCCGGTTCTGCCGCCAGAAGCAGTTACAACAGAGGGAGTTTGCCCACGGGCTTTGGGCCAAGCCTCTTCTGCAAGGGCAGCTCCAGGTACCCCTCCAAGCTGCCTCACGAACCTTTCAAAGGCTTCCGAGCCTCCTCTTAACATGGCCCCCCCTGCCTGTCCTGCTTAATTGCTTCACGTCCCTTCTACACTGCAGCCCAGATGGACTGCTCGGCCTCCCATCACAGCCCGACCACGCGGGCTCTGTCTGGGCCATTTGTCCTTGTGGCGCCTGGCCACTCATCCTGCTGGCCCCTCTGTGTTAGTGTTCTCCAGAGAAACAGACCAACAGGGTATGTATACAGTAGATAGAGAATAGGCAGGTGATTTAGGTGGGTGACTTAGATAAATGGATGCAGATCTTTCTATAGATTCCGGTATCTGTATCGATCCCTCCCTCCCTCCCTCCCCCCATGCATCCACCCATCTACAGAGATTTATTTTAAGGAACCGGTGTGCATGATTGTGGCACCTGCTAAATCTGATATCTGCAGGGCAGGAGGTAGGCTGGACCCCTAGGGAGAGTTGACATTGAGCCCAAATGGGCACCTTTCAGTCAAGTGCAGTTAACCCTTTACACGGTGCTGGGTGCACCCTCCCCCCCACCTGGTGGGTGCTTGCAGCTTTCTCTGACCCTTCAGCCCATGCCGTTTCTCTGTTCTCCACGCCTGCCCTGCAGGCCCCTTTTTCCCTGACCCGCTAATTCCTCTCCTCCCCTGATGGCGCTCACTTGGACTAGTGGGAACACTCATGGATTTGTNTGGTATGAGTCTTGTACTTCTTTTGTTATATTCATTTCCTTTACGAAAATATTTACTGAAGGACCTTTTCCAGTGAGGAGCATTTTGACTGATAACCTTCTTTGTTTTAACAGTAACACTGTAAAGAATTTGAGACCTTTGAAATGTATGAAGATTTTCAAATTACTCATCATTCCTATGATTAACATTTTTTATCCAATCCTGAAACTATAATTTCATTTCAACAGCCTTGTCTAATACAGTAAAAGCCATATGCCAGTGCTATATCTCATAGCTGTGTTCTCTAAAGACCAGAGTTAATACAAATAAATTAAGACAATGTATCAGTTTGGAATTCATATGGATGCAAGCAACAGAAAGTCCTATTTTAGAGGCTGATGCCAATAAAGATTTGGTTTTCCTATGAGCAAGAAGTTAATGTGGAGACATACTGGGGCTGTTTTCAGTGATAATCAGGAACCCAGGCTCTTTCCATTTCCCTGTTCCTCTATCCTTAACACAGACTTTCATTCTCAACTTCTTGTCTCCTGGTTGCAAGATGGCTGCTACAACTCCAGGCCTCACACTTATGTCCCAGGCAAGAAGAAGGGAGGAAGGGTGGAAGGATGAAGAGCTTTCCCTTAGCAAGTCCTTACCTTCTTATTTAGGAGGAGAAGCCCCTTTCCCCTGCCCCACCCAGGGCTTAGAAAGCCAACCAACTGTGTCTTCATATTAACTATCTTATTTAATCCCTTTTAAAATTATCTGAGGTAGGTAATCTTTTCTGTGCTTTGTCTGCTTTACATATGTGGAATTCTAGACTTCAAGAACTTCTGTAACTTTCCCAAGGTCACACTATCAGTGTCAGAACTGAGACTAACAGTGATAACATATTATACTGCTCTAGTTTATGTTTCATCATTGTATATAAAGCACTTTCCCCTTTGTTTTTTCATTTGGGTCTCACAGAATTCAAGATGCACAAGGCAAGTATTAGAATGTCCTCCTTTTATTGAAGAAGAATTTGAGATCCAGATGGAAATAATGACTTGCCTGAGGCACCCAGCCGGGAGCTTTCGGAGCTGGGATTTAACCCCAGCGCTAGTGTCCTGGCTTCTCTACCCCACTGGCTAGGTGTGGCCAGAGAGCAATTGCTCACTGAGGGAAACACACACACAGAAAGAAGGGGTAGAAACTGACCTCACAGGCTTCAGTTTTGCAGAGGCCCAGTTTTGGGGGCTTTTCTGTTGTTTCCCTTGTAGGGTGGCGGAGTGTGTCTGGGACGATCGCGGACGCCTGGCCATGGGACACGCCGCGCATACGAAGGTGGTCTGTGTCCCGTTCTACCAGCTGGTCTCACTCGTGTGTGTGGGTTCCCAGCTTCACTTACAGACGGGTACCTGGTGCCTGGAGGGGAATTTCCTGGAAGGAAAAGTCAGACTTTATCTTATGTATTGTCTTCTTTGAACACAGGTAACACCAAGGAATGGATGTTTCTTGACAACCCAGCCTGATTAAGTAGTAAAAGGAAAGAAAAGAAAACCAAGTCCAAGTGAGTTTTCTGTTGGCCTTGATAGAATTAAATATGCTTAAAGAAATCCCCAGCTCATTCATATTCTTAAAGCCTTTGTGTAACATCGATAGATACGGCTCCGAGCTCTGACCTCAGAGGCCGGGCCACGGGTCTTTGAGAAGAATCTGTGAGTGATCTACAGCAGGGCACACACGAGGGCTCCAACCGCAGCAGGGCAGGGAGCGCCAGCTGCCACCAGCTCACCGGTGGCTGCCGAAACAGACCCCTGGCCTCTTCCCCGCCTCTGCCCTTGCCTTTTTGGGATCCATGTTCGACACAGGGAGCAGAGGGAGCCTTTTTAAGGGTGGGAGACCAATTACGGACCTTCTCAGTTCCCAGATTCCCCAGATCGCTGTCTTGCTCAGAGGGAGCCTCAGGTCCTTGTGGTGGTTTATGAGCTCTCTGGGTTCATCTGCAACTCTCCCTGGCTAACTCCACTTTGGCCGCATCGGTCTCCGTTATGCTTCTGGAACACAGCAGGCAGGCTCCCACCTCCAGGCCACTCCTACCATCTTGGTGTAAGATAAATTCTAGCTGAAATAAGCAGGTGACGAGAGGCAACAAAGGGCCAGGCAGTTTATTTGAGTGCGATTCCCGGGCGAGGTTCACCAGTCTATGTAAATGGCGGCCGGGGAAGCCGCACCCCGTCAGGGAGGTGGGGGCTTATAAGGGCCTAGGAGGGGGAGGAGTGGGCAGGCTATCCTAGGGGACGTGGAGAGGTGTGATTGGCTGAAGGTGACATAATAGACAACTAGAAACTTTTTTCCTTCCAAAAGGGAGGAGGCTGACATCCGGGTCTTAGTTGGCACCCCAGAAGGATGGAATTCAGGGAGAGCTGTCCCCTTTCCATATAAGGACGGACCTTGGGGTCTGGCCTGTTCCCCCCCATGGCCTCTCTCTGTTCTGTTTGCATGTCCTTGTCTTTCCTTCCTCCAGCCTAACACTTGGTCCTTCCCTCTGCCCAGGACATCGTCCCTTGGATGCTCGCACGGCTCACTCTCTCACATCCCTCAGATCTTTGCCCACATGTTTCCTTCTCAGGGAAACCTCCCTGATTACCCCACTTAGAATTGCAGTGATCCTCCAGTCCCACGCCCATCATACCTTCTGTGCAATTTCAGGGTGACCATTCCCATCGATTAGGAACTGAATGGTGTCCCTGAGCTTGTCCAACTCATGGTCCTACCATCCCACTTCTGGCTTTATTTTTCTCCATAACATTTAACCACCTTTAAGATGACTACCCCATTTTCTTTGTTATTTGTTTTGTTTATTACCCGATTTTTCCCCACCTGTGGCTTGAAAGTAAGTTCTGTAAGCATAGGGATTTTGTCTCTTTTTTCCACTACTATGTCACCAGTGTCTAGAACAGTGCCCAGTACATAGTAGGTACTGCATACAGATTTGTGAATGAATAACTGACAGCCTTGTTTCCTCCTTTTTAATCTTATGTCTTTCATTTTTCTAATTGTATTATTACTCAGACTGGAACATCCTGAATTATGTTGAACAGAAGCAGAGAAAACTGTTATCTTTGTCTTTCCTGTTTTTCAAGGGACTGCTTCTAACATGTATTAGGTTTGTTATAGGTTTTTTTGTAGCTGCTTTTTATTGGGTTGAGTTTCTTTCTATTCCTAGTTTGCTGAAAATTTAAAACAATTATTACTATTGTTGAATTGTATTGGATGATTTTTCTTTAGCTGTCTCCTGAGATCATGTATTGTTTTTAGTATGTTAATATGATTAATTACATTAGCATATTTTCTAACATTACACCAACCTTGCATTTATGGAAATTAGGGGAAATGCAAGCACAACATGGCAATCTCACTGAGTTGAGGAGACAGAAATAGGAATTCAAAGAGGCTGAACCAATTGGAATTTGCAAAGTGGAGTTACAGAGAGGAGGCTTGTATGCAGAGAAAACGTTCTAAAAATCTGGAGACTGATACTGAATACTAAGCCACATGTATGCAGAGTGAAATGCCATGAGGCTGGTAAAAGGACAGCTAAAGAACTGTAAACCAAACAATTTGTAGAGTTCACATAGGCCTGGAAAATATTCTGGTTCCAACAGCTAGAGTGGATCATCCTCATTGAATACATAGGGCATTCATGGAGATTCCAGAAGGGTCTGCTTTTGCAGTTGGGCTAAACTATTACTAGAGTAAGGTTATTAAAGAACTGTCCCAGCGAAATTGATAATATACTTGAAATAATTAAGCTCATCTGCAAGTAACCTAACTGCCTGTTAGAACCAAGTCTAATACTCTTGAAAAGAAGGCAATAAAACTTAGCATTCAACCATGTAGAATACACAATGTCCAGCATCCAGTTAAAAAATTATTGGACATAAGAATAGTCAGTAAAATGTGATCCATAATCTGGAGCAAAGTCAGTCAATAGAAACAGACTCAGAAATGACAGAGATGATATGATTAAAGACAAGGCCTTTGTAACACCTATTGCAAGTATGCTCAAAGATGTAAAGGAAATTACTTAAGTAACGAAAAGCACAAAATAGAAAAAACAAACAAATGGACTTTTTAGAGCTGAAAAATTCAATATGTGAAATGAAAATTTAACCAGTTGTGATTAACAGCAGTTAGACTCTACAGAAGAACGGATCAGTGAATTTATAAACATAGTGACAATTGCAATCCACAATAAGACCCAAAAGGGAAAAAGGGAACCCACCAGATCCTCTCTGACCTATGGAACAGTGTCAAGCAGTGTGACTGTGTGTGTAATTGGAGTCCCGGAGAAAGAAGGTCAGGAAAGAAATATATTTGAAGAGATAGTGGCCAAAGCTTTTTCACGTTTGATGAAAACCATAAACACACAGATCCAAGGCACTCAAAGAATTCCAAGCTGAATAAACACAAAGAAAACCAAACTAAGACACATAACCAAACTGCTGAAAACCAGTGACAGTGAGAAAAATCTTAAAAAATTCCAGGGGGAAAAAAAGATACATTAAATATGGAAGAACAAAGGTTAAAATTACAACAAATTTCTTGTCAGAAGCACCACAAGCCAGAAGACATCAGAACAACATCTTTAAAGCACTGAAAGAAAAAAATACTATCAATCTAGAATTCTGTATCTAGTGAAAATATTTTTCACAAAACATTTTCAAATACACAGAAGCTGAGCAAATATGTTCCCTGTAGATAATGCACTATAAGAAATATTGGAAAATACTCTTCAGGCAGAAGGAAATGATACCAGAGGGAAACCTAGTATATATAGGAATGAAGACTTCAGACGAGGGAGAATAGAAAAGAGTTCATTTAAAAATTTTCTTTAGAAGTAATTGACTGTTTAAAGCAAAATAAACCTTATATTGTGTTTATAACATGTGGGTGTAAAATGTAGGACACCAATAGCATGAAGGTTTGGAGAGGAGAAAACAACACCACAACATTTCTTA